CCGGGTGCCCCACCCAGGGCATCCGGGTCGGCATCTGGGACCTCGGCGGGGACACTACGTGGAGGTACCACGTACCTGCCAGGGCCTGCTCCCCAACACCCTGGTGTGCCCCCAGGTCGCACTTCTGGTGGCCGCTGAATTCTGGGAACAAGGTGATTTAGAGAGGACAGTCCTGGATCAGCAGCCCATTGTAAGTGCTGCTCCCAGGGCACCAGTCCCCACCTCAGCACTCAAGACCCAGGGCATTTGGGTGGCACTGTGGAAAGAGGGAAAAAGTCGAGGAAGCTGGAGCAGCCAGGCTGCTGCCAGCCCAAGAGCCCTGGGACAAGCCCCAGCAGGTGGGCAGGATGGCTGGGATAGGAGTCCAGGTCCTGTGTCATCTGCCTCCACTTCCCCACAAGCCCATGATGGACCGGAACAAGGCGGCTGAGCTCCCCAAGCTGCAGGTTGGCTTCATCGACTTCGTGTGCACGTTCGTGTACAAGGTGGGCAGCAGGCATCCATGCTGACCTGGCAGCAGCTGGGAAAGAATGCAGGGGGACCCAGTAGTGTCCTTGCAGGAGGGGGGACGGTGTGACTATGTGCTGGGCTGGCTGAGCAGGGGAGGACACCAGGGATCCCCCCTGCCTGCTCTGCATGCCTGTCCTCACCCTGGGTGCTTCCCAGCTTGAAGTGTCCTGGCACACTTCCTGGTCACCCAGCCATGGCCCAGAGCACTTAGGGCCAGGGTGCACCTTGCTTAGAGTCACCCGGAGGGCAAGGGCAGGTCTGGTTGGCCCGTGCGTGCTGGGGTGCCTGCCCCATGGGACTTGCAGCTGGCCAGGACACCATTCCCCACCAAACTCAGAGGTCTGCTGTCTGTTCCCAAAGACACCTGGCAGGAAACAGGGGGTACCATGGTAGGGACCTGACTGCAGAGCCCCGTGTAGGGCCCCACACACCTTGGCTCATGGGAGCCAGGCCACTCTGGTTACTCTTGGTGGTGGTGACTGATCTGCTCTCTGGCTTCCAAGTGAGGTTTGCACTGAGCAGCTCCACAGCCAGGAGCAGGACATTCTCTCCTGGGACCACAGGCCCCAGTCTGTATGCAGCCCTCCTGCTGCCTCCCTCACTCCCTCCACTGTGTGACGAGTGTACATGTGACTTGCGGTTGCAACATGTGATGTGTACAAATGTAGTACTGCATGTGTGGTTGGTGGGCGTATACACACGACATGCATGTGATTAACTGCACGTATGCATATGTGGTCTGTGTATGGCTTGTGATGTGATGTGTGCACATGATATATGCATCTGTAGTGTACAACAATGCATGCATGTGTACACCTGACTGTGTGAGCCTGGGAGAGGTGGGTGGGCTTACCTCTGCCGATCCCCACCCATCTGGCAGGAGCCGTCCTGACATGGACATTTTCTGCCCTGTCTGCATCACAAGCGCTCCCATCCCAGGCCTCAAGCCTGTCCTTTTTAGGGCTGTGCTGGAAAAGGGACACTTCAGGAGTCCCCATGGTCAAGAGGCCAGGCAGGGTGTACAGAGGCCAGTGTCAAGTCCTGCAGGAACAGGAGACAGGCCTGGCTTCCTGATTCCCACCAGGAGTTCTCCCGCTTCCATGAGGAGATCCTGCCCATGTTCAACCGCCTACAGAACAACAGGAAGGAGTGGAAGGCACTGGCTGATGAGTACGAGGCAAAAGTGAGGGCCCTGGAGGAGGAGAAGAAGGAAGAGGATAGAACAACCAAGAAAGGTCTGGGCCCCCTGCTTCAGCCTGGGGCAGGCAGTTGGTTAATCCCTGAGGTCAAAGCAGCAAAGTGCCAGAGGCCACGCAGCAGTCAGACCTAGAGAAAGGCACAGTGATGCTGCGTGCAGAAGCCCTCCTCTCACAGTTGAAGCACAGGCTGGAAAGATTCCTCCTGCTAGCTAAGGAAGTAACTGTGCTCCCTCCTCCTTTACAAAGGGGCCAAACTCCCCAAACTCTTAAGACATCTTTGGTTCTTTTTGTCTGGCCCGCAAGTAGAAATTTCCTAAGTTTTTTTCTTTTTTGGTACCAGGCATCGAACTAGGGACCTTGCGCTTGCAAGGCAGGCAGTGGAACCACTGAGCTAAATCCCCAGCCCTTCTATTTAGTATTTTTGAAAATCCACATCAGCCTAAGAAACAAAAGTACCCCCCCACAAAGCAAAAAAGAGAAAAACCACCAAGAAAGCGTTTGGTCCTGCACGACGTTGTCCAGAATGTTTGTTTCCACCCCACACCATGGGATGTGACTCAGTTGGAGTCAGTGCACCCCACGTCAGTCCCAGTGGCACTGCCTTGCTCTTGGCTGTTCTGCCTACCCTAGCTCTTCGTCTTCCTGCTGTTCCCTGCCGCTTGGCAGGAGGCCAGTGGTTGCTGGAGGCTGGGACTGACACTAAGTAGGGCACAGTGTCAACGGGCTAAAGCTCTAAGACAGGCTCAGCCCAGTTAATCGGCTGCAGGGGCCAGCAGAGGACACGTGGGACACAGGGAGGGAAAGCGCCCACTCACTGTCCATCTTCTCTTGCAGCGGGAATGGAAGTCTGCAATGGCAGCCCAACACCCAAGTCTTCAACCTGCTGCATCCTATGAGCTGCTGGCTCCCTCCCCCAGACACCTGCCGGGGATTGGGCTCTGCCTGGGTTGCATGGTGCAAATTAGGAAGCAGAGGACATGACCAAAGATAATTTTGGATACATTAAACTTTTTAAGGTTTGTTTATATGAATTAAACCCAACCATAACCTCAATGGGATAGCTTTTTTTTTTCTTTGCATAGTTCCCACAGGGAGATCTTTGAAAAGGGTTTGTGAACTATCAGAAATCTGAGTGGGGACATTTAGAACAGTGTGTGTAGATACGTGTATATATGTAGATAGGATCATCTACCCCATCTGCTCTAGTAAACATGCCCAGGAATTCAGAATAAAGAAAAAGCAACTCTCCCATTTGTTACATGGTGGAATTATTGTGGTGGGCTCATAGTATGTGACCCATCAGGAAGTTGTGCTGAACCAAAAGACCTGTTCATGGCAGTGAACAGAACAGGAACCAGATGTGAGTGGCGCAGGAGGATCTGTAATAAGCCCTGGGGGTGGGACCCAAAGCTGCCAGTCCTGCACTAGCAAGATTTGGTTACAGCGCCTGTCACCTCCAGTGACAATGCTGGTGAGCCTGGAGAAAGGCAGAGGCAGAAAGTCCCTCCAAACTTCATGGGATTCACCTTTGAAGAGGGGTACTATCTGGTGGAAATAAGGCATTCTTTTTCCCTTTTGAGACAAGTCTAATTATGTAGCACAGGGTGGCCTTGAACTCCAAATCTTCCTGCCTAAAATGAGTTAACAGTCTACTCTTAAGTGAAATAAACCGGACACACGTTTGCATAATGCATTGTTTCTCTGGTACAAGAAACCAAAAGTGGAAATAAGGCCTGAACTGTATAAAAGATATTGGAAAAAAAAAAAAAAAAGATGTTGGGAAATGGGAAGAGAATGAGGAGGGAGGGAGAAAAGGACAAGAAAAAAAAGTGAAAATAGAAGGAAAAAATGGATATAAAGGTTTTCTACGTAGGGAAGACAGGGATGTTAAGGGGGGAAATGAGATAAATTTTTTTTTTTGGTACCGGGGATTGAACTCGGGACCTTGCCCTTGGAAGGCAGGCGGCGGAACCACTGAGCTAAATCCCCCCCTCTAAAATGTATTTTTAAAAAAGTTAATACATGGTGAGCACCAAGGCATGTGCTACCCTGATGCCTTCACTGGGTGAGGTGGGGGACAACACCCAGCAGAGCCACCTGCCTGCAGCAATGGGAGCTGGTTTTATCTTCACCTTACCTCGGGGACTTGTTATACAAACCTACAACTGGACCCGGGAGACCCTGCAGCAACCACTGGAGACCCAGAAGCAGGGACACCAGCCTGAAGCAGATTCATCATTTTCACCCACTGAAACCAAAAGCTGCTTTGAAATGTTTGTGTGCTCCTTCGCATTTGCAAATAAACTCACTTTGCAAACAAAAACTGGGATCTAAGCACAGGAAATTTGCTCAAGGCATACAGCTGGAAAGCAGCAGCACCCTCCTGGGTGACTTCAAACCACCAACCCAGGACTCGTCAGCTCACCACCAGAAGGAGCCCAGGAGCCCAGGAGCCCAGCCTGGTGAGGCTGCTTAGCACACAACCCAGCCTGCCTAACAGTTCGGTATTAGGTGATCAGTCTCAGGGCCACCACTAACACCTCCCCAAGATCCAGGGAGGGCTGTGAGCTGGGGACAGAGGATCCACCTTTCAGGGCAAGGACATGAACACACCCCTACCCCCATAGCTTGCTCTTCCTGTCCAGGGGCCTGGCAGCTAGGAGAGCCCAGAGCAGACCTGCTCCATCACATCCCAGACCCCCCCCCCCCGCACCGGACACCAGATAGAACAGGTATTATGCCTTGTGTGTGAGCTGCATTTTGGATCTAGAGTAACGCTCCTTAGTGTCAGGCCTGCCCTAAATCAACAGGAAAAATAAACAGGCTGCTTTAAACAAATACCATCAGCTTCCTTGTAAGTGACGCAAATGGACTAAAGAATATGGTCTATCACTCCCTGGCGCCGAACAGTCCAATAAGTGTGCACATGCCTGAGCAGACCGTCCAGACCATTCTCGGGCAGCTAAATCAAAAATACGTCACCCCAGATTCCTTAGCTCCTTCAATACCTATATAAGCCTAATTCCCTTCCCAGTTACATCTCTCCACTATCTCTCTCTCTCTCCCCCTGCTAGCTGTTAGAATCCTCTGACCCTAGTCCCTGTCCCTGTTCACTGGAATAAACTTCTCTTTTTCTCACAATGGAGAGCCTGTCTTTTGTTGACAAGTGGATTCTGTGTAACACTTAGTTCCTTTGAAATCCCTCACAGTAACCCTGCCCTGAGGAAAGCAGCACAACTATTGAGCTGGAGTCCAGGAAATAGATAGCGGGGGCAGTAATGCAACGGAAGCCAGAGCATCACTCGGAAGCTTTATTCGTCTGGGGCAATGCAGGCTGCTAGCACCTCTCACTTCAGTATACTGTCATCCCGGGCTGAAAAGTTAAAAGAAACAATGTGTTGCAACTTTACAGCTCTCAGGCCACCTGTAAGGACCACTTCAGAGTTTCGGTTTTCAAAAAATCAGAACCTATTTCCAAGAGAACACAGGCGACCTGAAACTCCAGGGAGCTGGGAAAGGGGTCAGCAGAGAAGCCGGTGACAGCCGCTCAGGGGTGGTGCAGCCACTGCATGGTGCCAGTCTGGGGCCTGGGCTCCCCTAAGAGCAAACTGCGATGCCTCCCACATCCAAGGCTGCTCTCGGGAAGACAGCAATGTGGACGAGGCAGGGTGGCCTCCTCCATTTAGCAGCAGCTGTTTGTTCCTGAACACCTGGAAGCATGCAGCTCCGAAGGGCGCACTCAGTACCTTCCGCCAGTTTCCTCTCAATGCGTTTCAGCTCATCCTGCCTCTGCTTCTCCTCCGCGGCTATCCTCCGCTCCTCCTCGGCCCGAGGTTTCAGGTAGCCTAGGGGCGGGGGTGGTTACCTCACTCCCGAAGACGCAGGGTGAAAGGGGCCCGTCTCCGGGTGGCTGCGACCACACGCCCTGTGCCCTCACCGCGGCCCGCAAGCCCGGCCCGCCCTCGCTCACTCACTGTAGCGCTTGGTTCCATAGGCGATGCCGACAACCAGCGCGGAGTAGCGGCCGAGCTGTGGGGCAGGGCATCGGTGCAGGGTTGGAGTCGGGCGGCCGAGGGGCCGTGGCGCGGGGACGGGGACGCGGGAGAAGCCAGGGGCGCGGGGCGGGGCGGGGATGAGGGAAAGGGGGCGCGGGCGGGGGTCGGCCGTGGAGAGAGGCACGCGGGAGTGGGAGCACCGCGAGGCAGCGACGCCGAGTTCACCTTGATGAGCGGAGACACTCGTACCGGCGGCACCATCTTGTCCCTGACCTTCGCGCCGGAAGAGCAACTGAGGCGGAGGAGAGCGCGCATGCGCCTTGGCAGAGAGCGGAAGCAGGGAGGCGCCCTCTGGTGGCCAGAGCAAGAGGCGCGCCCCGCTGGTGATGACGTCAGGGCTCACGCACGCGCGCAAGGGCCGGGATGCGCGGGTAGTGTGGCAGAGTCGGACCCCGGGGCCTCGCTGCTCTCCGGGAGCCGCGGGGAGGGCTTAGGTCAGCACCTCTGGGCGTCGGCGCCCAGTGCGGAGCGATCCTGGGCGCAGCCTCCCAGGGCCCTCGGTACTGCACCCCAAGAGGGACTGGGGGCTTCCCGGGGAGGCCACAGCGACCGGAAATGTCCCGAGTCCCCGACCCGGGCAGCGATAGTGCACCCATCGGGACCCCTGCTGACTTCTCCCTCCCTCTCTTTGGGGCCCCTGCTGGGCGTACGCGGAGGTCCCCGGAGGTTGGAAAGAAGTAAAAGACGAGATTATTAACTGAAACTTGGACTTTTTTTTTTTTTTTCCGGACACAGGGTCTGGCTATGTAGTACTGGCCAGCCTCGAACTAGGCTGATCCTCCTGCAAAGTTGTATTTTTTTTTTTTTAACCTCTAATTCAGACTTAGACTTTATTTTAGAAAGTTTCAATTAAACTTTTATTTGCACAACACTGTTCTCAACCTGTACAGAGTTAACAATAAAGAATGAAATGAAGCGCCAGCTCTCCAGGAGTTCTGAACCTAGTGAGGAGTATATATACAATGTTTACAGCAGAAATAGGAAATATGGGGTTCATTCTTTGAGGTAGATTTTGAAGGACAAGAAAGGCTAACATGTCAACAGAAATGTATGGGAAAATTCTAGGCAGATAACACATCTTTTTTTTTTTTTTTCAAAGTTGTATTTTTAAGAAAACTCCAATTTACAGGACCACCCAAGGCTATCCATGTGGCATTCCTTTGGTTAAATTTAGGCTCCTTCCCTACCAGACCTATCACACCCAAAATTCCTCTGGAATGCTGAAAGTCCATAAACTGGTTTAACTAAGAAAATAATGATCAGGAATCTGATTCCCACCCCACCCCACCCCTGTATCGGGGATTGAACTCGGGACCTTCCCAGGCAGGCAGTGGAACTACTGAGCTAAATCCCCAGGAATCAGGAATCTGATTCTAAAAGGAGCAAGTGGAGAGAGTCCAAAGAATGTTTTAATCACAAAACACACGAATCCATACCAGTACTGTACAATGAACTAGTACCCTTCTGTGCTACCCCTTCAGCCACCTTTTCCTGGGGTTTCCACCCCTTCAAGAAGCATAATGTTTCCCGTTCCAGGAAATAATGCACCTCATTTCTCTGAGGGCCCACATTTCACTCTTAAGTGTGTTCTAAATCTCTAATAAACCCTTCTGCCTCTTACTGACGTGTCCTGAAAATTCTTTTTCCACAGTGGGAGTCAGCGAACCTGCTGAAAGAGGGGTGAGTTAAGTTCCTTATTTCAGCTTCAGAAATCTCTCTTACCAGTTAGATGACAGCCCCCTCAGCCGCTTTTCCCTACTCTTCAGCAGATCTCAGCTTCCAAAGAATATGATGCAGCATTGTGAACATAAAGACACCCACCCCACTCCATACGCAGCCAAGGCCTTGGGTCCTCAGCCTGGGAGCAGGAGGCCTGACTGGGGACCAGAATACTGGCATCACCCCTGGCTCCCTGCTCATGCCCACCCTGGGGAGGCAGGCCAGGATCCAGCCCCAAGGCAGATCCAGACCCCACCACATGCTACCACCATAATGTGCTACCTCATCAGGGGTCCAGAGCAGTGGGGCCACTCCATCTTGGGTTGGGATGTGCAAACTTGAGCCAAAATAAACATTTTTTGCTTATAAGTGAAAAGAAACAAAAACAGAGTTTTATTCCAAGAGGGATCCCAAGTGACAGCCAAACATACCATGGATACAACACAGGTCAAACTACAATCAACCTAAAGGGTTACAAGTATACCCGCTTAGCTAATACTGATCCAGTAGGGAAATGAGTCATGTATCAAGGGTACATGGAAAGAATAAAGGTATTTTGGGGAAGAGATGGGTCTGGATGCTCTGGTCACCCACGTGGGCAACTGATGCCTGGCTGGACTTCCTGGGCCAGGTGGTACTAATCACAGCATAATTTCATGTTACTGTTTATCCCTCAAGGAGGTGTGTGTGCCTGCCCATTGCATCTTTATCTTGATGCCCAACCTTCTTCAGCTGTGTTTCCAACCACAATTCTGATCTTTATTTTATTTATTTGATTGCTTGTTTTTTTAAACGGGTGTGGTGGATTAGCTAAAGGTCAATTTGGAACGCCCAGCGGAACTGAGTCAGAGAGGTTCTGGGCATGGAAGACCCACCTGAAAACTGTTTCGTAAATGGAGAACTAGAGGGGAAAACTACGCTGTTGATTTTCCTGGAGAAGTTCATCATGGCTGTTTTCCCGACAGGAGCTCAGCTATTCTCATCACGGGAGGAGGTCAGGTCCTCGCTATCGCTGGGGATGGCAGCTGTTCCCCTCAGGGGGGCTCTGGTCTTCGCCTTGAGGTTCTTGGCTCCAGTGCAGATCCTCAGCCTGGTGGCACAGGCCCTTGACCCCACCAGCACGGGCTTTCTAGCTCCACCACTGGCCTCAGGGTTTCCCGGTGCAGATCTTTGATACAGATTTGCGTGAGACATTGCCGTGGGCTCTAGGCCTCTGCCTGGACTCACGGAGGGCATGGACTTGGGCTGTAGGTCTTCAGCTGGACTTCTGTGGGACATTGCCAGAGAATCCAGGCCGTCAACTGGAGTCTTTGGGTCTCTAGAGCATGGGCAGACCTTTGCACTCCTCTGCATTTGACTTTTTAGGTGAATGTTATAAAATAATCCCATAAATTAGGTGTCCTGTATTAAATCTATTCCCTTGCAAACCCTGACAACAGCAATGGGGTCTTGCTATGTAGTCCAGGCTGTCCTGAAACTTACAGTGATCCTCCTCCCTCAGCCTCCCAAGTGCTGGGATCACAGGCATGTGCCACCACACCCAGCTTGATGTCTTTATTTTTTGTGCTGACTTCTTTGAGAGCCCAGAACCTCTCTGACTGTATATTAATTTCTAGCTAACTTAGCTGCCTATAAGATGACCTCAGGTGACCGTGAGTTTTCCCTTCACTGGATTTAAAATAAACCATACTCCTCAGCAACTCAACTTCCAGAACTGAAAATAAGTATCTCTAGGTGCCCAGGGATATGACAGCAGGCTGGGGGTGGAGGCTGGCAGAGCAGACCCCTGATGTCAGGGAAGAAACCTGCCTCGAGTCAAGCTCTCAGGCCCGGAGGAGGGTCCCATGGGGACCTCGCACCTGTCAGGCTCAGCTGTGTGCATAATCTGAGTACGCCCAGCTCTCCATTATCTTCAGTGCTGAGTCAGGGTCCTCTCTGGGGCTCTCTGGCCTTCTCACTTTGGGGGCTCCCCACCCCTGCAGCCCCACACCTCAATCCTGTCTGGGATCCTTCCCTCCCAGCCCAGGCACCACACCTGGCCACATGCTCCCTAGTCGGAGAGGCAACCCCAGGTCTCTCAGGTGCATGACGTTCCCGGGCCCTGCTGGCTCAGGGGCTCTTGGGCAGCAGCTTCCATGACAGCTGTTTCCCAGGGGGGGCGGGGGGCAGGACCTCTGCTACAGTGAACACTCGGGGCTACATGGGAGTTCAGAGTGGGGGGGGCACCCAGCAAGGCACCCACATGCACCCGCACCCACGCCCACCTGCTGGGGCCCTGCTGCCTCTGCCAAGCACAGGCCAGGCCTCCAAGGGCTGTTCTTCAGGCCTAGAGCTGCAGGGCTGAGGTGGCCCACCCTCCCTCCCACCGCCTGGACCAAGGCCCCTGACCCACAGCACGGCCAGGTCGGGGAGAATGAGGAAGACTGAGGGGCAGGCCAAGCGTGCCTGACCCCAAGCCCTCGGGGTAGCCTGGCCATCTCCAAGCCTGGTCCACCCCAGAAATGTCATCCTCCTCGATCAGCCGAGGAGCCATTGCTGCCACGGGGTCAGAAGGGTGGGCCCAGGGCCAGGAGCGCCGCTGAGGGATCTGTGTGGGACCCCTGGCACACACCAAGCGCTGGAGAAACACTTGGGTCACTCTATACCTCTGTGCCATCTGGAGAAGGCACCTTCCTCTGGGGCCTGCAGTTTCTGCCGTCTAGGGGGTCCCGGGTGCCCTATCAACTCTCAGATCCCAGGCCCTGGCAAGGGCGTGACAAGGGGCCCTGGAGAATAGCATTCAGGCCTAAGAAGGGGCTGTCTGAGTCACTGCTGGGCCTTCCAGGCACACTCTGCCGCTGTCCAGCCCCCTGGGTGGCCCTGAACCTGTCCTTGTAGGGAGTGGCAGCTGAAGCCTCAGCGGTCCTGGGGGGTCAGGCAGGAGCTTGAGTCAGGTAGGACGGGACCTAGCCAAGGAAGACTCAGGCATGGTGAGCAAGTGGCCCAGTGGGCAGCAGGGCAGGATATGAGCGTGTGTCCCTGCATGTGTGTGTGTGAACGTGCACCCGAGTGCACGGGTGAGGCCAGTACAGGCCCAGGCATGCCCTGGTGACATTCTGGGGCAAGATGAGGGAAGGTCTGGGCCTTCAAGAACCCTGATGCTCAGAACAAGCCCACCATGGCATCCCTGTGCCCTGGAGCCCTTCAGGGCCACAGAGTGAAATGGTCCTAAGCCCTGTGCTCTGCCAGGGCCTTGGGGATCGAGCTCCTCCCCCCTTGCACCTGAGCTTAGTGGCAGCACACTTGCTGGGCCCGTCCAGCACTAGGTGGAGTCCCCTCACCATGTGAGCTAAGGCTCTCAAATCACAGGGTGCCTCAAGGGTCCTCCAGCAGTCTGGGACCCTCAGCGTCAGTGCTCCTGCCTCAGGCCAGCAGGGAGACCAGGAAGAAAGGTGATGCCCTGCACGCCCAGCAGGCCTCCTCCAACATCTTCTCCAACTTTGCACATCCCAACATCCAGGAACTCAAGGCGAGTCCCCTTCCCACCAGGAGCCCCAACCCAACGTGGACCCGTGGCCACCTGTGCCCGGGCGTGGAGGCAGAGGCAGCCGGCCACAGTGCTACGGACTGCCTCTGTTTCTGGGCATTCACACTCCTGCTTCGGAACCAGGACAGCTTCATGGACAAGGAGGACCCGAAGGACACGTACACCTCCCTTGGTGGGTGTGAGCACAAGGCAAAGTGAACGTCCACACCAATGTCCCACAGGGCAAGGGCACTGGCCCGAATGGCTGACCTTCCCCACTCCAAAGCCCTGAGCAGTGTTTCGCCCCCTCCAGGAGGGAGACCTGCCCCAGGCTGCCTAGAGCTGGTGGGGCATCCAGGTGGGCAGGGCCAGCGGACCAGCCCAAGCATGTAGCCTGGGACAGGCTATGGAGCCGGGAGGGCAGGGGCCTGAGTCCTGCCGAGCCCAGCAGTCCCTCCTGCCTCTCCAGTAGGCCCCGCCTGACACCACTCCCCACCCCTCTGCAACAGGCAAGACCAACATGAAGGATGACAAGCTGGACACCATGCTCAAGGAGGCCTCAGGGCCTGTAACTCCACCGTGTTCCCGAACCTGCTTGGGGAGAAGCTGACCAGCGAGACCCCTGTTTGTTGGGTTAGCACCTAACACCTAGAAATCAAGACATTTCACCAAAAGAGCCTGGGGGCAATCCCGACAAGTCCTGAGCTCCAAACTCACCTCCCAGCCGGTGGCCTCTGTCCCACACTCTCAGACCTCTGGCCCCCGGCTGCAGGCCCTGGCTGACTTGGGGGCCACACCTGGTAAGGACAGGGAGGCCTCTGGCAGTGGGGGGCACCCTGAGGCCTCTGTGCAGCAGGCAGAGGCAGAGGCTCGGAGACCACCCTAGAGGCCTCCAAGTTGCCGGACCCGGACAGCAAAGGAAGCTTCCACAAGGAGTAGTGAGTGTTGGCTTCCTCGTGGGCCCCGCCCCAGCATGTGTGGAGCATGCAGCCCAGACAGGGCCAGGGCCAGCCCACCTCTCAGTCTTCAGGGGCCATTCAGAGACCCTCACAGCCCAGTCCTTGGGTAACCAAGTGGGAGGCCAGCCACGCTCTCTCAGGGACCTGGGATCATGGTGTGGTTTGTGGGGTGCCTCCCCTGGGACCAGGTGCAGGGATAGAATATTCCAGCAGCCTCTGACCCCGTCAGCTGCTCCCGAGGCTAGGCCTTAGGAGTGTCGACACTCAGTGTCAATGGGCTCTGGTGAGCACTGGGCGTCCGGGACTGCGGTGGAGGTGGGATGCAGACCCACAGGGGAGCCAGGGTGGGCATTCAGCAGCCTCCCGGCCCTTCCCTCCTTAGCATCAAACAGCTGCTGATGTCCCAAGCTGACAAGATGGCTGCAACCGAGGTGTCTGCTCCGCACCCCACGCTCCCAGCCTCTGCAGACCAAGCATGGTGAGGGCGACCCCGAGTCAGAGAGTGCCGCAGTGCCGCCACTGGCAGGACAGGGGGCACTCAGACAGGCTGGGGGTACTCTCCTGGAGGGACAGAGCTGGAGGCACTCAGCCCCCTGTGGGCTGTCCTGTCTGAGGGGCTGAGCTCACAGCAGGGCTGTCCCAACCCCAGCCCCAAATCCACAACCCCCAGCCAGGGCAGTCACGGAGCCCAAGGACGGGACTGGGCACCGCACGGCTGATCCCTGAGATGGGAGGGGGACTACGGACCAGGTGGCCTGAGGCCCCGGGTCTGCCTGGCCCCCGGCTCAGCCCTCCGCCCTCCCTGCTGCTCTGCCCCCTACAACCCCTTGCCCCCTGCGCTGCTGCGCCCTTTCCACCTGCCCCGCCCATCTGCCCCCTGCGTCCCACCCCTCACTCCCCCACTCGGGTCCCCCCCCCCCCCCCCCCCCCCGCGCGGCCCCGCCCTCCGGAAACACCACCCAGAGGGGCTGCATCCTTCCTCCTTCCGGCATCTGTGTTTAGGCTGCGCAGGGAGACCTTTACCTCTCCCTCCCGCCAGGCCTGACCAGACCCGCTCCTCAGGTGGATCCCAGGACCGGAGCCAGTCCCTGCTGTCAGGTCACGGGCTGCACGCCAAAGTGGCCAGGGCTGTCTCCTTCCTCCCTTCACACGTGTCCCTGGTCACCGTCCCTGAGAGTCTGGGGGCCTTCGAGAGGAGCTGGCAGGGCAGGGGCTTCCTGGTGAGCCTTGGGGTGGCTTTGGAGTGGGGCTCGGCGTCCTGGGTGGAGGGAGCCCTTCAGACTCGGCCTGCAGCCGCCGGTATGGGGTGTGGAAGAATAGCACCAAGACACAGGTGAAGAGGGTGCACAGGCCAGCCATCAGCAGCAGGGACACTGGGGACACAAGTGCAGCTCTGTTCTCAGCAGTCTCGGCCTGCTGACAGCCCCGCCTGGGCGGCCTCCATGGTAGAGCCCCTGGCAGTTCCAAGCCGGCCACACTCGCAAGCGCTGCTGACCACAGAGCCACCTGGGACACAGCCCTGCCCCCAGCCTTGACGGCTGGGACGTGTGCAGCCCCCACCCCGTCCCTGTCTCTCTGTGCCTCTGTTTCTTCCCCTCTCTGCTCCCATCTCTGTCTCCCTCCTTTTCCTGCTCAGATCTCTGCCCTCAAGTCTGTTTCTCCCTCCCTGGTCTTAAAAGAGCTCACCTAAGGGGCACCGAGACTGGGTTTCACCCAATGTGGGCTGCACCTAACCAGCTGAGCCCAGAGCTCTTTCAGCCCACCAAGAACCCACCCACCAAGATTCGAGAAAGGCACCTCTAAAACTAGGCCGGGGCTGCGGATTTAGCTCAGTGGTTTCGCCTCCTGCTGCGCATGCGCCAGGTCCGCGTTCGATCCCCGGTACAAAAATAAAGAAATAATAAAAATGGGCCAGGGGGTCACGAGGAGGTCTTCCCAGACTGAGCTGGGCCAGGCCTCCTTACCGCCTTGCCTTGGCCCTCTGGGGGCCTGGGGCCTGGGAGGGACACTCACCTGTCCAGTCCAGGGAGTCCTTGCCATGCTGGCAGGTGGAGAAGGACGGCCCTGTGCGTGGCACGGTCAGCACTGTCAGCAGCACCATGATAAGCACGCCCTCAGCCTGCCTGGACACACAAGGCCCTCAGTCCAGGAGCCACCCTCACAGCAAGATACTGTGCTCGGGGAGGGGTACTCACCCCAGCACGAAGACCAGGCCCGTGGCAGCTCCCTCACCCACTGGGAAGGAGCACTCAACTGCCAGCTCCATGGCTACAGGTGCCACTGCAAAGCCAAAGAGCCCAAGTAGGGAGCAGACGGCAGCTAGCGCAATGGCCTGTCCCTGCAGCTGGGCCACCTGGGAGGGAGGGGCAGAGTGGGCATCAGGCAGACGGGGCCTCCTGCAAGCAGAGGCTGGGCCACCCCTTTCCTGGCATCCCTTCCCTCCATCCTGCAGGGTGGTCTCAGTTTCAGGGACTCTCACCAAGGAGAAGGCCACGCAGGCCAAAGAGGCCAAGCAGAGTCCTATCTTGGTGGCCTCGGTGAAGTGCTTGGTCCGATCCACGTACAGGCCAAGAATCAGCGCCCCCAGGATCCCGAACACAATGAAGAGAGCCCCACAGAGGCCTGAAAACTCCTGGAGGGTGGAAAGGCTGCATACACCTTGGGCAGAGGGCAGCCACGCTGGTGCAGGGCCCAAGGCCAAGAACCCTGGCACCTGCTGAAGGAAGGGCTGGACCCTAGGGCCAACGTGCCTCAAACCACAGGCAGAGGGCCAGAGGGAAGAGGGCAGAGGTATGGAGGCCATGACCCAGGTACATGTGAGTGGCCACCACCTCCATGGTCTCCATAAGGTGTAGACACTGAACTAGAGGACAAGGCAATCCCAGCAGTGACAGTCCCTCCCAGGGAGAGCTAGCACTCACGTTGGAGTAGCCACTGGCACAGAGGATCTGCTCCAGGAGGGCTGAGAAGCTGGAGAAGACCCCGATGCCACCCCCAAAGCACACGGCCAGGATGATGTAGGCCTTGTTCTGCAGGAGCTGGAGGAAAGGTGCCACTCAGTCCAGAAGCTGAGGCTTCTAGCTAGAGCTCCCCCCCCCACCAGAGCCACGCACCCACCAGCCAGAGCCCAGGGCCAAACTTCTCTGAGGTGGAGCTGGCCGCCCCTGTGGAGGGCGGGGTGGGAGGCATGTTCTCCCAGATGCAGGTGGTGGAGAGCAGGCAGGCAAGGCCGGCGGGGATGATGTAGACGCCAAGCTGGGGAGAGGGTGGGGTCACAGGCCACATGGACACATGCACCCCATGCACCTCAGCCCCACCCCACCCTCCGTGGCTGCCTGCTGCCTGCATCGACCCCAGGGCCTGTGGTGGGCAGCACCACCCCACTTTACCTGCACAGGGAGGCTACAGGCAGAGCCCCAGCTTTCAGCCCAATTTAGCCGCCTGATGGCCACCTGAACACCCATGGAAGTAGGCCATGCTAACAGACCCAGTTCTGTCATAGAGGTGCCCATTCACACGTGTGCACACATACCAAAACCTGCATACACAACATACATATGCACACAGCACGTGTATATAAGCCACAGATAGGCACATACAACATGTGCACATAGCATCCAGGTGTACACACCACATGCACCATGCATGTATGCAAGTACACACAGCATAGGCACCACACATGTGCAGCTTACGAGCTCCCTCACCATCAAGGGGATGTCCTCTCCCTTCTTCACCAGGGCAGGTGACAGCAGGTTAGCCACGAGGACGCCCAGGGGATTCGCTGGGTGGACAGATGGGCCAAGAAAGGTGTCAGCCCCGCTGTGGCCAGCACTTATCTCCGCCCCCAGGGAAACCGTCCTGGCTCTGGTGCCATGGCCGTGGCCGTGGAGCTCCGGGTGAAGACCCGGAGCTGAGCCCAAGCTGGTGAGGGCCTCCCCCATGACTCACACATGGTGGCAAGCATGTTGGCTGTGGCTCTCTGGTGCTCTGGGAACCACAAGGCAGCCAGTTTTGCTGGAGAGAAGATGACCAGGGTCTGGGCCAGGGCACAGAGGCTCTGGCCAGCCATGAAGAAGGCAAATGGGCTGGGGATTCCAACAGCCACGCAGGGCAGGGAGCGCAGCACACTCCCCACAAAGTTCAGCCATGAGCCCAGGATGGTCTGCAGGGAGAGTCCAGAGGCTGCTGGCCAGGCACCCTCGGTACCCTCCCCAGCCCACAAGGGACACCAGCTTCCAGCCACCCCACTGCCCGACAGCACAGTGGGGCTAGTAGACCCTGGCCAGTGCAAGAGGCCATGGCTCCCATCCCCAAAAGCAGGGCCCACCAGTCCCAGAGCAGGCCAGGGTCAGGGTCTGACTCACCGCTGCCCGGAGCCCCACAAAGTCCAGGACCCAGATGGCTGCAATGCCGCCGGGGATGGCCACCACAAAGTAGATGAGTGACAGCCAGTTGACCTGCTCCATGGACAGGAGGAAGTGCTGGACGATGGCATCTGCCACAGGTGCAAAGCTGAGCCATAGCTGCGGAGACAAGCAGGAGTCAGCAGGGCCAAGAGGCCACTGCCAGCTCTGCCCTGCTCCAGCCTGGCCAGCCCAGGGCGACTGCGTGGCCCCTGGGCCTTCCTGCCAGAGACCAGCCCTGCCCTCATCACTCTTGGGAGGGCATCAGGCAGAGAACCAGCCTGGGGGCAGACATGGAGACTAATGACCCCACCAGGCCTGGACACGACCCTCGGAGGAGAGCCTGAGGGCTGCCTGCAGGGCCTCCATCCATGAGAAGACAAGGGAAGACGTATGGGGTCCGAGTGTGAGCGAGGCAGCTGGCAGCACTGTCGAGGCCCAGTGAGGGGTCTAGCAGGCCAAGGACAGAGATGGAGGGCGGGAGGGCTCAGAGCCGAGATGCAGGGTCAGTGGCACCGCTGCCTGTCTGGACCGGACTCGTGATGAACAGCTGGGCTGGGAGCTGGCCCCACCCGCAGGTCTGAGTCGGGCAGGTGAGGCCTCCAGCCTGAGGCAGGATCTAGTACCAGGTGCAACCCACAGAGCGAACGTAGCAGAGGGCAGGGACGGCCAAGAAGAAGTGCACGCGGGCGCGGAGGACAAGGAAGCAGCAAGTGCACAGGTGGGTTAGTGTGTCAGGAATCACAGTTCCTCATCCAAGCCGCTCCAGGCCGGCCTCAGAGGCAGAGCAGCAAGACCAGGCTTCCCCACCAGAGCCTCACGTGGCAGGGAGCTTGGGCAACGCGCCTTCTCTGCCTTTCCCCAGATTTCTCTGGGCCAGGCAGCCCCTGTGCAGCCCCAGCCGGGCAGACAGGAAGCACGGTCTGTGTACACAGCCCCCTTCGCCAAAGCAAGCCCGGCCAGCCCACCGTTAGCCCCACAGCTGTCTAGTCCCGAGCTGAGGCCGTGGGTGGGTGGGTGGGGCAGGGGTTTAACTAAAAGCTGCAGGCAACAAAAGTGTGGAGGACAATCAGATCCTTCCAGCAAGCCCCCAGCCTCGTCTTGCACACCCGCTCTTGTGAAGTGGGTGGGCAGACTCCCACGCAGAATGCTGGGTATCCCTAGCCTCACCCCAGTCTCCTCTCAGAGCACGACAGTCCTGGTCCCAGCTGCAGGTGAGGGACCCAGGCTGGGATCAGCACAACTCTTGACGTCAGAGCTAGACTTCGGAGCCCCAGGATGACAGCAGGACCCCACCCACGTTGCCCGGAACTTCCCGGAGGCCAAGGAGCCCCAGCCTCAGGTGACCCGCCCTAAACCAGTTACACCCTCAGGCTGCACACAAGGCCCTGAGCTAAGCCAAGTCCTGGCTCCTCTGGCCGGCAGCAACCAGCAGGAAGTTCCCGGAGTTGCTGCAGCGCCAGAGCCCAGGCCCAGCTCAGGACGCAGTCCCCACACCCAGCCTGCACGAGGGAGAGCATGCTCTGCGCGCCCACGGGCCTTCACGCTTGGGCCCAGCCTGGAGGCCAGCCGCACACAGCCTCAGCTTCCGAGGCCGGTGGGGGCACCCTGAAGTGTGTCGAGGAGCTGTGGTCCCTGTCCCAGAGCACGGAAGTCTAGCCTGGCGCTGGGGCAGGGGAGTGGGTCCAATGGGCTGGGAAACGGGGTTCGGGGATCCCAGGTCGGGGCAGGCCCTTCCCTTCTCCCTCAGGGGCCGTACCATGGCATTGGAGCAGCTCAGCAGGCTGACGGCCAGCAGGAAGACCCAGCGCCGCGTGTAGGTGCGAAGGGTCCGCGGCCCGCCCCCGACGTCCCTCTCTGTCATCGGCCCGTCCCCGGGGTCCACTGCGGTCCTCTGCCGGTCTCCCGGCGTCCCCGGCCCATCCCGAGGGTCCCCCGCAGTCCCTCGCCGGTCTCTGCTGTCCCGCGCAGTCTCCGCGCCATTCCCGAGGTCCTCTGCTGTCCCCGGCCCACCTCCCTCGGTCTGCAGCCCGTCCCTGGCGACCCCCTTTGTCATCTGCCAGTCCCTGCAGGCCCACACCGCCTCCAGCCCGAGTCCTCCCCTTCTGACCTAAGGGCCCGCCCCGTCTGGCCTTAAGGGTGCAGCGCGGCAGTGGGCGGGGCCTGGGGGCTGAGGCGGGGCAATCGGTCCGTCTAGCCGCACCCCAAAAACGTGAGCGTGGGGACACATGGGGTGGGCGGGGCCAGTGGGTGGAATCTGAGCCTTTGGACCTCGAGCGTCAGAGAGGACCGAAGACCGGCCATAGCCCCAGGCATAGTGTCCCCTCCCGCAGGGGACACAGCTGGATGGGGCCCTCGAGGATGAGTGTAGGAAAAGGGGCCTGAAGTCACTCTGCCCTAGCAGAGGCTTCATTCTTTTTTTTTCCGCCCTCCACCCTTCCCTATTTACAAAGACTTTATTTCCATTTTTTCCATTTCTCAGCATTTTTCCTTTCCCTCCTTTCCTTTCCCCTG